CGAGCAGCAGCTCTCGCCCGGTCAAGCTGTGGGCTGCCTAGGGGCTCCCTCTCCCCGTGGCTTTGTCTGCGCCGCGAGTCTGTGTGCGTCTCTGCCTCACGGAGGGAGTTCGGGTCAATCGGCCCCAACGGACGTCTACTCATCATGCAATTGCCATGCCATGCAGGCCGCTGTGGCTGTGTCCGCTCTGCGCTGTTGGTGTGTCGCTGTGCCCGCTGAGCGCGTGTTGTCTGCTGTGCGTGTGTGTTCAGTCTGCTCGCTGAGCGCGTGTTGTCTGCTGTTGCTGTTTGCTGCTCTGCTGTGTAAAAAAAAAAAGTGCGCCCTGTAGTCACAAATCAAGTCCTGTACTCTAAAACCTAGTTTAAGCGAACACAACACACGCACGCACTTTTTTTCCTGCATCGGCCCCTATATTGCGCTGAGCCCTCTCAGGCAAGATTAGAAATCTCGCTTCGCTCGAATAATAAATAAATAAATAGCGGTGCACACACATAATATGTATATTGTTCCGAGATTTGCTCGTTCCACGATTCCACAAGGGCACAAGGGTGACACAAATAGCACACACACACACTTCGTACGTCGCGAGGGAAGGGATTGCTGTGCCCTTCTCGCGATAAAAATATCTCAGGCAGGAACCGCAGGAGGGGGTCCAGCCCCCCCCTCCTATGTGACCCCGGTTGGGTCGTCTAGCTAGTAGACGTGGAAGATAGGGGCCAGCGGGGCAGACGACAGAATCCGGTGATGGGAGAAAAAAAAACACACACACACACACACACACGAAAGTACAACATCTCATCACAACACCTTCCTTCAATGCATACACCTCCCCAGCGTAACATGCACAGAGATACACACGACAGCTACCAAACTGTCTTCTTGTGGAGCCTGTTAAGCCACAGGGGAGATATCGCCTTGTGCTGCTCGGGAAATCGGAGAAACACGGGAAGCTTCCGCTGACGCTATGAATTAATTGCTAATCTATCTTAGACTCTTTTCTAGATAGAGATGGATTCGTGGTGTGGTCTAGTGGTATCCTCGTAATCCGCTAGTAGTCGCAGAGATCGTGAGTTCGAATCCCCATGGGGTGAACAATTTACGAAATTTGCGGGTGAAAGCGAAACATTGCTGAAAAGCTCTCGTGAGTACTAAACTTCGACGTTAGCACCGTTGACGAGGGAAAGGGACGGCTGGACCCTTCTCGAGATAAAAATATAGTTCAGCACGCACCGCAGGAGGAATGTGGGGCATGAAAAGATATAAAAATAAGAAAAAGAGCCCTGGTGTTTATTTACCCCCTCCTGTGTGACCCTGGATGGTTCTAGTTGTACGAAAAAAACACTTAAAAGTGTACGTACTCTACATACGCTGAAAAGTGTAGTACACGTCTCACCACGAAAAACGGGGGGACTGTCGCCATAATAAATAGGACGAAACCACACGCACAAAAATTAAAAAGTTGGCCATAAGAACAGGTGCGCAGTTCCGACGTCGTATTGCAGAACAAGAACCCTTCGTTATGGTGTGTGCCAATACGCCTACAATACACGGCAGCTGCAAGACAAGCCTTCAGGATGATGAGGGGTGACCCCAACACCAGCATCTCCTTTCAGAACGAGGAGGGAGGGGGGGGGGGGGGGGG